ACAATAGTTGAAGCTGACTCAAGTGTGAATCAAGATGCTCATAAGATGGAAGGAATTATTGAAAGGAAGGATGTTTGTCCTCACTATGGAAATCCTAGACACATGAGGAAAAATTGCAAGGCTTTCCTAGCAAGCAAGAAGACTACAACTTTTTCTAAAGGTATGTAAATGATTGAAATCAATGTATCTCTTGTTATATCTTGGGTTATTGACACAGGATTGATGAGTGCTTGGAAGTGCACTCATACTTAGTGATTTTAAGGGTATTTTATGAGGGAATTAGGTTTAATTGGTTAATTTTATTTTATTTATGTATCTCTTTTGTTTTCTAAAATCATGGGTATGTTTTCTAAAATCACGGGTATGTTTTATGAATATTTAGGTATTTAGGTGCTGATAAATGAGGATTTCAAGCATGCACATTAAAGAGGAAAGAATCAAAATCGTGTAGGAACAAATGGTTCGAGAATCAGAGCTCAAACAAAGAAGTTATGGATTTTTTAAGATTGTTCACGGCAGAGGATTTTTGTGCCGTGGTGTGAGTGAGCACGCTGCACTAAAATGGGTGTAACTTTAGCTACAAAACTCTGATTGACCTGATTCCAGTGGTGTTTGAAATATAAGAGAAAATTTTATGTTTTTTTAATGATCCAGTTAAATCTGGAAGATGGTTAAAAATTGATCAGAAAGTTACATCATGCATAGAAGACAAGAAGACGCAGGTTCTGGAACATGCCTCAATGTTGCTACAATAACTTGATCTAAATACCTCAGATTTGTATGATTCTTAGACCATTGGAAATATGATTCAAATAGATACAATTAATATGTTTATGGCTTTGTCAGATTCAGAATTTTTTATGCTAAAAAGTCGAAGTCTTTCGACGCACAATTTTCTAGCTGCAGCTGTTAAGGGGAAACGGACAGAAAATGAAAATTCGCCAAGCTACCATAAATTCCTCAGAACGAACTGGGAGCTGTTCAACATATTTTTATAAATATTTGGAATTCTAGTTTACCTAGAATTTTACGGTTCATTATTCCGAGATTTCTAGAGGAAGATATTCTTGTTTCAGTACCAAAGGGTCAACATAGGAATCCTAATTCTACAAGGACTCTACTTAAGATTAATCTGAATTTTATTCTCCTATTTTGTATAGGATTTTTCCCATTACTTTCCCACAACCCTAGCACTATAAAAGGATGTCTTTAGGTATTTTTTTTAGAGAGACAAAACTTTGAGAAAGGCAAGGATAAGAGACTTCAACTTGGAAAGAATTGGAAGCAAGGAGAAGAGATCTACCTAGGGTTTCATCTTTTTCTCTTGTACTTCATGTTTTTGAAGGGGTTAAAGTTTGATTACCTTATGATCATAACTAGTTTCTTTTCTAGGGATCTGATGTAACCTAACATGAAGGTTTTATGCTTTGATTAATTTTATTGTTCTATTGATTCAATATATTTCTAGTTTCATTTGTTGCACTTAATTCGATCTTGATGTTTTGTATGAAATAAGTATGGTAAACATCATATGCTAACTTTGAAATACAAAAAAATTGATTATTTGAGACAAGGTAAGGCAAACATCATATGCAAACCTTAAATAGCTCTTTTAAATGATTGGATTGTGTTGAGGCAAACATCAGGCTAGATACAATTTGGTTCATATTTTGAGTACTTCTTGTTCTTAATGGGTTCTTGATTGTTAGGCTTTACTAAACATCCTAGTGAGTTTAATGATTAAGAATACTTGGTTAAACCCGAACATCAAATGGTAATATCATAATGATGGAAGATTGAACCCTAGGAATTGGATTGAGACGATGATAAACCAATATTTGTCCTAGCATTTTGTTATGTTTTTAGCTGTTATTTGTGTGTTTTACCTTAAGAATATGTTACTTTGAGGTGGTTTTTACCATTTTGAAGGTATATGAGCTTTTGGAATGCATTTGGAAGAAATCGTGCAAAATGGGTTGAGAATCGGAGTTGAAACGAGGAAGTTATGGTGCTTTGAAGATGAGATTCGAATCCTGGAATTTTCTTGATTTGTGAATGTGCTTTAGTATTTTGATCATAACTTGAGCTGTGGAACTCGGAATTGGACGATTCTTGTGGCGTTGGAAAGATGATTCAGAGAGCTATAATTCTTCTGCATGACTTTGTCAAATTTGGAAGATATCAGATGTGTTGGAGGACAATCGCTGCAGTGACCATTTTCATCACCGAGGCGAGCGTGTTTGGGAATTCAAATGTGAAGCCAATTGACGACCACCGCAGTGACCATTTGTGTCACTGCAGCAAGCGTCCAGAACCCTTAAGTGCATGAATTTTTGTTAGTTTTATCCTAGTTATTATTTTGTTTTACTCCCAACCATACCCTTTAAAACCCCTTGGCTATACATACATACTTTTAACACAAGTGACCAGACTTGTGTGGATTTTCGGACACTCTTTTAAGTTTTTGAGAGTGTGTCTTTAGTGAGAAAATTGTGAGTTTTCAACAAGGGAGAGAAGGAAGAGGATCAATCTACTTCAATTCCTAGGTAATTTCTTTTCAGTTACATCTTATTTTGCAATATGATTAGTTTTTAATTCACTAAATTCATTGGATTGAGTTTGATTATGAGCAACTAAATATATTGTGGGAGTTTAATTTAACTATCATGATCCTGTTGGGTATTTGGTGATTTGTTTTATGAGAGTTATAGATTGTTTCTTGTTTAATTATTCTTCATGATCTTGATTATAATTTGCTGATTGGCCAACTACTTTTTATGATTAAAACTGAGAATTAGGGTTCTAGTGATCATCTTGCCTTGATTAAGCTCTATTAAGCAAGAGTTCAAATTGAATACATGATCATTGTTTTGATTTGGATGGTTGTGCTATTTCCTTGTTTAGATTACGATTAATTAGTTAACAACTTGATCATAAAAGTTAATTAGTTAATTATAAACGGAGAGTAAACATGACCATTGGAATTCTCTATGGCTTAGTGGAAAAATCAACAATCTAAACTTAGGATTCAATTGCTTTGTTTGCCAAATATTCCAATACATGATTGAGAAGTTAGCTAAATCCCGGCTATCACTCTCATTGGTTTAGTTCACTTTCAACTGATTGCATTTGTTAATTTTAATTAATTTACAATCTTATTTTAGATTAGTCTCACCAATCTTTTGGTTAGAGTGTTTAGGATTTTATTAATTGTTTAGTTTAGTTGTTAAAGAAAATAAATTAAGAATTTAGACCACTGCAATTCTGTGAGAGATGACCTTGGGAGTATACTTATCGCTAGCCATTAGTGATTCGTGCGCTTGCGAGTATTAAATTAGCACAACACGTTTTTGGCATCGTTGCCGGGGAATTGGCGTTTAAATTCTATTTTTTTTCTGTGTTTTTTTTTTCAATTTTGTTCTTTGTTTTATTTTGTTTAGTGCTATTTGAACTTTTCTTGGTTTTTGTTTCATGTGTATGCATCCATTATAGCATGTTGCCTTCCTTCTACGGAGTTCCTAATGAAGACCCTTTGACGTTCATAAGAGATTTTTATGCTACCGTGCAAACTTTTCCGTTGCAAGGACTCAATGAGGATCAATTGAGGATGAGATATTTTCCCTACTCCTTGAAGGATAAAGCTAAAGCCTAGTTTATGACTCTTCAACCTGGTGCATTGACTACATGGGAGGCGATTTACAATAAATTCATGGGAACATTTTACTCTCATCAAAAGACCACTGACTTGAGGACCAAGATTGCAACGTTTTCTCAAATGGAAGGAGAGCCTTTTCATGTGGCATAGGACAGATTTAATTGCTTCTCATCCAATGTCCTCACCATCATTACCCACTCCAATTATAAAATCAAATTTTCTTTGATGGATTGACACAACAATGCCAATATATGGTGGACAACACTGCTGGTGGAGCAATGGGTGAGAAAATTGATGCAGAAACATTTGAGTTATACAAGATGTTGGGTGCTAATTCCCAACAAAAGACCGTGAGAGGAAGAAGAGTTGGAGTACATGAATTAAGCTCCAACAATGAGATGGCTATGCAACTTGCTGAATTGACTAAGCAAGTCAAACTTCTGACTACCAAAAATAATACGAATAATGAGGTATGTGGAGTTTGTGGTGTTTTACGGCATGGTGCTAATAATTGTTCTTTGTCTTATGACTCTTATGCAGGGAATGAACAAGAACAAGCCAATTTGATGGAGTCTTACCAACCTAAGTCTAGGAATGATCCTTATTCAAACACTTATAATCCTGGGTGGAGAAATCATCCTAATTTCTCCTGGAAGACTAATAATAATCTTGCCTTTACCTAAAACCCAAGGCCTAGTCAATTTCCAAACCAAGCCATACCACCTAACCAATCTAGAAATCCAACCTTGGAAGAAAGCTTGAATACCTTTATTCAAGTTAGTAGAGAAAATCAGGAGAGAAATAATCAAACATTGGATTCTCTAGAAGCATCTATGAAGAGGGTAGAAGTGCAAGTTGGGCAACTTGCGAGTCAACTATAAGGACATCAACAAGGAAAGTTGTCGAGTCAACCCGAGTAAGCAAAGGCTATTATAGTCATTCGAAGTGGTAAGATTTTAAATAAAGATTTTGATAATAAAAATTCTGATGACTTACCACATGATGCAGGAAATTAGGATAAGGAGCGTGATAGACAAGAAACTCCTAAGGAAGTGCACGAGAAGGATGTTCGATCGTCCAAGCCAAACAACAAGGATGAAAGAACAAAGGATTTCCCCTCACCAACACTCCATAAGGCAATGGAGCCTTATAGGCCTCCAATTCCTTATCCAAATCAACTAAGACATTAAACAAGATAAGCAATTTTCTAAAATTTTTGATATGCTTTCTAAAGTTAACATTAACTTGCCTCTTTTGGATGTTATCAAGAATATGCCTTCCTACACAAAGTTTTTTCAAGGAATTCAACACCAAAAAGAGGAGATATGAGAAGAATGAGAAAGTCATGGTTTCAAAAGTTGCTAGTGCCGTGCTCCAACAAAACTTGCCTCCTAAATTGAAAGATCTTGGAAGTTTCAACATAAACATCACCATGGGAGACAAGAAAATCGCGAAAGCTATGCTAGACTTGGGAGCAAGTATCAACCTCATGCCTTACTCAATATACTTGCAACTAGGTTTGGGGGAGCTTAAGCCAACAACTATGACCCTTCAACTTGCGGATAGATCAGTCAAATACCCAAAGGGGATAGTTGAGGATTTATTGGTGCAAGTTAACAAGCTGATTGTTCCAATTGACTTTGTGGTTTTGGAGATGGAAGAAGTGCCTTCAAAGGACAAGGAGCATCCAATTTTGCTTGGTAGACTATTCATGCCGACAACCAAGACAATTATAGATGTCCATAAAGGGAAGTTATCCATGACAGTCTTGGGAGAGACTGTTGAATTTAAAGTGTTTGGTTCTTTACCTATTCCTTCTACTTCTACTTATGATGAGTATTCTTTTATTAATTGTGTGGACTCACTTGTTTATGATACTTATTTGCAGGAGAAGATAGAAGATAAGCTTGAGGCTGCCCCAACACTTGATAGGGTAGAGGAAACACTTGATGAGGAAACTAAGGGATTCCATGAGATACTAGATAGAGCAATTCCTGTTTTACCACAAGAAAAGTCTATTAAACCCTTAGAGTTACCAACCTCCCCATATAGGGACGAGCCTAATCCACCTAATCTAGAGCTTAAAAAGTTACCTAAGCACCTTAAATATGTATTTTTGGGAGAGGGAGATACTTATCTTGTCATAATTTTAGCAAACTTGACCCAAACCCAAGAAGAGCGACTAGTAAGGGAGTTTAGTAGACTTAGGAAAGCTATAGGTTAGAGCATAAGTGACATTAGGGGTATTAGTCCTGCGATGTGCATGCATAAGATAATTTTAGAGGACAATGCCAAACCTATTACAGAGGCCCAAAGGAGATTAAACCCTAACATGCAAGAGGTAGTAAAAAGGAAATTTTAAAACTCTTAGACGTAGGAGTAATTTATCCTATCTTTGACAGTAAGTGGGTTAGTCCCGTTCATGTAGTACCAAAAAAATCAGGCATTACTATGGTGAGAAATGAGAAGAATGAGTTAGTGCCTACTAGGATGACTACTGGGTGGAGAATGTGCATTGACTATAGGAAACTAAACGCTGCCACTAAAAATGACCATTTTCCATTTCCTTTCATTGATCAGATGTTAGAAAGATTAGCAAGGCATGAATTTTATTATTTTCTTGATGGTATTTTAGGTTATTACCAAGTTCCTATTGTGCTAGAAGATCAAGGGAATACAACATTCACTTGCCCATTTGGGATGTTTGCCTTTAGAAGGCTGTCATTCGGTTTATGCAATGCCCTCACAACATTCCAAAGATGCATGCTGTCAATATTTTCGAATATGGTGGAAAAGTTCATCGAGGTATTTATGGATGATTTTTCAATCTTTGGAACCTTATTTGATGATTGATTGCATAAATGGACTCTTGTACTTGAAAGATGCATTGAATGTAATTTAACACTTAGTTGGGAAAACAGTCATTTTATGGTTCAGCATGGCATTGTATTAGGACATGTGATTTCTAGTAAGGGTAACGAAGTTGATAAAGCAAAAATTGTGTTGATTGCTAAATTGCCACCCCCAACTTCGGTAAAGGGTATTAGGAGTTTCTTAGGACATGCACGTTTTTATAGGCGATTCATTAAAGATTTTTCTAAAATAAGTCGCCCATTATGTAACTTGTTATCTAAAGATGTTCCTTTCTTGTTTGATGATGATTGCTTGATTGCTTTTAATACCTTGAAAGAGAAAATAACGTCATCACCTATTATCATGGCACCTAATTGGTCATCGCCCTTTGAAATTATGTGTGATGCATCTGACTATGCGATAGGGGCTGTTTTGGGGCAGAAAGTGGAGAAGCGTTTACATGTTATTTATTATGCTAGTAGAACACTCAATGATGCCCAATTAAATTATTCCACCACCGAAAAAGAATTTTTGGCTATTTTGTTTGCATTAGAAAAATTTAGGTCTTATTTAATAGGGTCTAAAGTCATTGTGCATTCAAATCATGCAGCATTGAGATATTTATTGACTAAGTCGAATGCTAAGCCAAGATTGATTAGGTGGGTTTTGCTTTTGCAAGAATTTGACCTAGAGATAAGGGATAAAAAGGGTAGTGAAAATGTTGTTGCGAATCACCTCTCTAGGTTAATTTCTCATTTCAACACACATGAACATAAAGAAAAAGACATTGTTGAAACTTTTCCTGGTGAACAATTGTTTGTTCTAAGTCGTGAGCCATGGTATGCCGATATTGTTAATTATTTAGCTTGTGGTCTAGTGCGGCATAACCTTGCTTTTTAGGAAAGGAAGAGATTTATATACACTTGCAGGCACTATTTTTGGGATAATCCTTATTTGTTTAAGCTTTGTCAAGATCAAATCATCCGGAGATGTGTGCTCGAGGATGAGCATGAGAGCATTTTAACCTTTTGCCATGAACTTCATTGTGGAGGTCATTTTGGTGGTAAGAAAACGACCCTCTAGGTGTTGCAATTAGGTTTTTATTGGCCTGCTCTCTTTAAAGATGCTCATAATTTGTGCTTGAATTGTGATAAGTGTCAAAGGAGTGGTAACATTAGCAAAAGGAATGAGATGCCTTTAACCAATAATCTTGTGGTTGAGCTTTTTGATGTATGGGGGATTGATTTTATGGGTCCTTTTCCATCTTCACATGGTTTTGAATATATATTAGTTGATGTTGGTTATGTGTCCAAATAGGTTGAGGCTATAGCTACCTAAACTAACGATGCTACATGTGTTGTGAAATTCTTGAAAGATATAATATTCAACAAGTTTGGGATGCCAAGGGCAATCATTAGTGATGGAGGAAGTCACTTCTGCAATAAACTCTTTGATGGGTTGTTGGAGAAATACAATATCACTCACAAAGTAGCAACTCCCTATCAACCTCAAACCTTAGGAGAAGTGGAGGTGAGCAATAGGAAACTCAAAGGAATTTTGGAAAAGGTAGTGCAACCTTCACAAAAGGATTAGGCAATAAAGCTTAATGATGCATTGTTGGCATATCGCACAATGTACAAAACACCCATTGGAATGAGTCCCTATCGATTGGTTTTTGGTAAGGCATGCCATTTGCCTGTTGAACTTGAGCATAGGACCTATTGGGCAATCAATGAGGTGAACATGGATTTGGAAAAGGCAGGCGAGAAGCGTTTGCTTCAACTTAATGAGTTAGAATAGATTCGGAATGAAGCCCATGAGAATGCCAAGATCTATAAAGAACAAACTAAGCGTTACCATGACAAAGGCCTACTTCATAAGTCTCTTTATCCAGGAATGAAAGTTCTTTTGTTTAACTCTCGTTGTAAATTTTTTCTAGGGAAGTTGAAGTCAAAATGGAGTGGACCGTTTCCAATAGTGCAAATTTTTCCCCATGGAGCGGTCGAATTGTTAAATCCGAGGACTAATGAAACATTCAAAGTCAATGGGCATCGTGTGAAGCCTTAATTGGAAGGAGTCCAAGGAAAGAGTATTGTTGAGTGCATTGATGTGCATGATCCTTGAACACGCAAGAGAAACATCTTGCCAAGACGTTAAAGAAAGCGCTAGGTGGGAGGCAACCCACATATATTTGGTAGTTTCTTTTTTTTTTTTTTTTTTTTTTTTTAGGTTTTAGTTATTTATTTATCTATTCCCTTTAAATGCTTTTCTAAACACATGTGTTCTTTGCAAACATTAAGGACAATGTTTAATTTAGGTTGGGGGGGTGCAAAAAAAAAAAAATGTTTTTGAAAATTTGATTTTTGGTTGGTGACTAGATCTTTTGTGCAATTTGTGTTTATTTTGTTAGCATTTTCAAAAGTTTGATGTGTAAATTGATGCATACTCATGTTCCATAAACCATGCTCTTGATATTGAAGTTGAGATGAACTTGGAATTAACGATTAAGAAATGAATAGTGGAGACTACCTTGTGAGTTCTTTGAGCCATAGGCGTTTTGATTGATAGAATTAAGTTCTCTTGAACCTCTTAAACACTTTTTCAAACTTGTACTTACAGTAGGATGGTCTCATGAGGCATTTATACTAGGTAGCTCCAAGTCAGAAGGACCTTGAGAGATGATGTTAGGCTTGCATGTTTTTCCCCTATTAAAAGCCTTAATCCACACCCTTTTGTGTGCATCAATTACCACTTTTGAAGCCAAACACTTAGCCTTTTATTTCATCACCTACATCAAGCCTTACCCATTCAACCCAATTTTAAGCCATACCCTATAACTTGAGAATGCCAAAGTGATGAGACAAGTTAAGAAGACTGAACTTCGTATCAAAAATATGGTGAGTACCAAGGAAATGTTTATTGTTTCTTGAAAAAAAAAAAAAAAAAAGTAAAGCATCTTAGTCACCAAAATGAATTCAAGGAGGAAAGCTTGCCTTTCAATTACAAAGAAGAGGAAGCTTTGGTATGTTTCAAGCTCTAGTTTTTCCATACCTTTCTTTCTTAACCCCAACTGAGCCTTACGTTACAACTGTAATAAAGACCTGACTGGTCTTTTGGGAAATCTTGCTTGGAGGTAAGGAATGTATGCCTATTCCTTATACTTGGTTCTTTTCATGAGACCTATTTTGTGAACATATGATCGTTTATTGATTATACCAATATCGGATGCGAGAATATTTTTGCTATTCTTTGTCTATATAACTTCTACTCGAATATGCTTGATGAGTGCGTAAGTCTAGGATCGGTGCAATATAATGAGTGAATCATGTGAGATCTAGAGTTGAAGCAATTCCTATTCTTGACATTAAGTTTGGGGGAGATCGAGACGGATATGTTTTGAGCATTGGAATGTGGTAGTATGGTGTGCATTGTATTTGCTTAATACACTTTGTTGTGCTAAGATTTTGAATACAATTGTATGAATGTATTTAGTTGCTAATTATAGTTTACTTTAAGATTGAGGTTTTAGTTGAGTTTTTCTTTCTTTCTTTCTTTGTTGTTTTGCTCGAGGACTAGAAAAATCTAGGTTTGGGGGAATTTGATAAACCAATATTTGTCTTGGTATTTTGTTATGTTTTTAGCTATTATTGGTGTGTTTTACCTTAAGAATATGTTACTTTGAGCTGGTTTTTACCATTTTGAAAGTACATGAGCTTTTGGAATGCATTTGGAAGGAATCGTACAAAATGGGTTGAGAATCGGAATTGAAATGAGGAAGTTATGGTGCTTTGAAGATGAAATTCGAATCCCGGAATTTTCTTGAATTGTGAATGCGCTTCAGTATTTTGATCATAACTTGAGCTGTGGAACTCGGAATTGGACGATTCTTGTGGCGTTGGAAAGATGATTCAGAGAGCTATAATTCTTGTGCATGACTTTGTCAAATTTGGAAGATATCAGATGTGTTGGAGGATGATTTCTGCAGTGACCATTTTCATCACCGCGGCGAGAGTGTTTGGGAATTCAAATGTGAAGCCAATTGAAGACCACTGCAGCGACCATTTGTGTCGCCGTAGCAAGCGTCCAGAACCCTTAAGTGCGTGAATTTTTGTTAGTTTTACCCTAGTTATTATTTTGTTTTATTCCCAACCATGCCCTTTAAAACCCTTGGCTATAAATACATACTTTTAACATAAGTGACCAGACTTGTGTGGATTTTTGGATGCTCTTTTAAGTTTTTGAGAGTGTGTCTTTAGTGAGAAAGTTGTGATTTTTCAACAAGGGAGAGAAGGAAAAGGATCAATCTACTTCAATTCCTAGGTGATTTCTTTTCAGTTACATCTTATTTTGCAATATGATTAGTTTTTAATTCACTGAATTCATTGGATTGAGTTTGATTATGAGCAACTAAATATATTGTGGGAGTTTAATTTAACTATCATGATTGTGTTGGGAATTTGGTGATTTGTTTTATGAAAGTTATAGATTGTTTCTTGTTTAATTATTCTTCATGATCTTGATTATAATTTGTTGATTGGCCAACTACTTTTTATGATTAAAACTAAGAATTAGGGTTCTAGTGATCATCTTGCCTTGATTAAGCTCTATTAAACAAGAGTTCAAATTGAATACAAGATCATTGTTTTGATTTGAATGGTTATGTGATTTCCTTGTGCAGATTACGATTAATTAATTAACAACTACATCATAGAAGTTAATTAGTTAATTATAAACGGAGAATAAACATGATCATTGGAATTCTCTATGACTTAGTGGAAAAATCAACAATCTGAACTTAGGATTCAATTGCTTTGTTTGCCAAATATTTCAATACATGATTGAGAAGTTAGCTAAATCCCCACTATCACTCTCATTGATTTAGTTCACATTCAACTTATTACATTTGTTAATTTTAATTAATTTACAGTCTTATTTTAGATTAGTTTCATCAATCTTTTGGTTAGAGCGTTTAGGATTTTATTAATTGTTTAGTTTAGTTGTTAAAGAAAATAAATTAAGAATTTGGACCACTACAATTCCGAATCAACCTTGGGAGTATACTTATCGCTAGCTATTAGTGATTCGTTCGCTTGCAAGTATTAAATTAGCACAACAAACGACAATAAATTAGTTATTAGCAGAGAATCGGATTGTTATGGTGAAATTGGATACCTAGGTTTTTCTTGCATTGGTTTTCAGTTAATTTTTAATTTTGTTATTTAATTCAGTTGGTTAAGAATTTATTTTTCTTCCTTAGACCATCTCCAATCCATTGCACCAAATTGTTGTAAATTTTGGTGTAAAACACTATTCCATCTCCAACCCACTACACCAAATATTACACCAAAAAGAATAGTCCTTAGAATATTCTTTTTCTTTTATTGTTATAATCAACAATTAATCTATTTCACTCATTATTTTTGTATATATTAATTAAATATTAGGAATGATATTTGTATTAAATAATAATTATTTTGAAAATTATACTAATTTAATAAAATTAAGCATTTATTTAATCAAATAAACATTACATTTAATATAGAAAAACATTACATCTAATATAAAATGATACAAAAAAAAAAAAACAGCACAAGGTAAAATTTCATATTGATAGTAATTTAATTTTTCGAATTAGTATGTTCTTCCCACAAATGATCAATTAATGCATTTCGAAGAGCATGGTGAGCCTCTGTATCCTTGATTTGTTTATGTCGAGTAAGAAAATTTTGAAATCGGACATTTTCATCTACGATAATTTTTTTTTGGGACCACGTGGATTGTGAATAGTTTGTACGAGAGTAGACCAGTTTGGGCATATTATATCATTATTATGAATTTATTATTATAAATAATAATCAAATTAAATTAAATAAAAATAATCAAATTTGGTGTAAAATTTA